TAAGTAGTTGTTTCTATTCTTTGGAAAGCTAACTTATATGGATTTTATTCAGTTAAAATGCAACAAACTAAAGAAAGTAGCAATAATTACTGAATGTAATAGATACTTACCATACAATAGCACAATGGATACTACATATTGGTTGTTAATCTGTTGAAAGTTATTGTCAAACCATTAGCTATTTTCCATTTGATGGCTCTGGTTAGAACAGTGATTACCACAAAGTTCATGCTCGATATTAACGAAATAGAAAATAACTCTTCCTTCAAAGGAACGAATTAATTCTATCTGGCTTAAACTAATTCCCATCCAAGTAAGTGAGGGAAGACGATATGACGTATTAACTATTAACACTCAGAAAAATAATTTGATTGATTTGACCAGATTGTAACTAAATCTCAGGTCAAAATATTCTTACTAGTCGCATCATGTTGGTCACAACCATTCCACATGTTTGTTTTCATATCTTCTTTACCACATGAGTTAAAATTTTTCTAACAAAACGATTAGGTCAATATAATTAGTATATGGTTAGAGCGTATTTTTTTGAGTGTACATAAGTCCAACTACATTCTGATTAAACGACTGATAATGCGATTTATTATAATATATGAAGTAGAAAACATTGAATTTTTTTTTAAAGAAATATTTCAAGAATCTTCTCTTAAAAATGAATTAAAATAAAACTGAAAAATCGTCCTTAAGTGTCATACTACCTACTACCTTATAAATGAAACAAAACTAGGTAATATAATTATATAAATCAAGTCCAAATTTCATATCTTTAGTTTCATTATAACATTTGTATGAGTAAAGAGAATAGAACTTCTAAGAAAACATTAAAAATTTTTTGAAAATTATCGGTCAAGGATAACAAAAACCTAACGTACATGCAAAAACAGAGATGTTTTTTGCTTTCAATATCCTCCAGTTACTTTTTATGTTAATCAAATTTAAGCATACATAAATTAGAATTTGTGATAATGATTTCAAATAACTTAATTAACGAAATTTCATTTGCATATAAAATAGTAAGAAATCCGCAAATCAAAAGCAAAAATCACCATACATACATTCCTATATCAAAGTGAAATTCATTACATCCATTTGCTATGATGATATATGATTATGTATACATGTATGCATGTATACACCTATATGTATGTAGGTAAATATATTTACCCTTACTCGTAGAAGATAATTCAATTACTTTTTCGCTTTTTATGCCAACCAAAGAACGATAGCGATTTATTGAAATTGCCATATGTGTGATGGCGAACAAAGGCGAAGCCAGCGCTGTTTCTAAGAAATCCTTGTTAATGCTGTTTTAAGGACTTGCTATTCCATTTCACTTTTTTTGTCTCTGTGTATATATAATGTGTGGCTCAATTTGTTTCTACTGGTATCAGTGTTGGCGTTGTGTGTTTTTTCTACACCTAATTTGAATAATGATAATCTCGCTAATCTGTTCCCCTACACTCTCTGCTAGATTAGTCTCAAGGCGGTGGCAGCGGTAAGGCCAGATTTATTAAATTGCAAAACACGCACGAAATTCAATGACAATGACGACACTTTTAAGTAATAACTTTTCTATTTTTACTACTTCTCCTTTTTCATTGTCCTTTTCTTTTAACAGAAAAACCTTTAATCAGTGTCAGATTGAGATTCCTTAAGCCAGTAGGTAGTTTGTCTGAGTACGTGAACTGGAAGTCTAAAATAAATCGAGATTTTTAACCTACGGATGCAATTGTTGAGAATAAAACTAATTAAATGCAATAATATGTGTAGTGAATAGAAAATAATCAAGAAATTAATTCTGAAGGATTTTTAAACTTCTTTATAATTAAATTAGTATGTTGATCCTTTTTTCAAATCAGTGCAACTGGGCACTTTTACTCTTTGATACCTGGGGGTATACGACTAATAGAAACGTATTTAAAATTAATAAAAACCAGTTGCGAGTCAGTAAGTTTTTAGCTGAACTTCCTTGGAATTTTGAAAATCATAGCGTTATAAGCAATTTATCTAATTTCCGCAGATATTATTGAAAATCATACTGATAATAACTATGTACCTAAGTTCTGAGAATCATACTAGTAGTAACTTTTTATCTAACTTCCCTTGTGTTTACTGCATAAGTTAAAATGAAAAGAACTAAAAAACTGTTGTGATGTGCCTAACCCCTTTTATTAATGTAAAAATTTTCTTTAATGCAACTTTCAAGGTTTTCTAAGAGTTTATTTTATGAAAATTATTTATTGCAGACAAACTGAAAATGTTTTCTTGTTACTTTTTCCTTAAATCCCCAACTGTTTAAAATCATCAAGAAAAGAGTGATATAATTATTTTATTCAAAACTACGAGCAACTACACATAAAATAGAAAGTTTATTGGATATTGTTTCAAGGATTGTGAGAAAGTTTGTCCACAAACGAACACAGTTGAATATCTTATTCATGCTGAAAGCTGCACCTAGCATTTTGTTTTGGAAAATCTCATAATGGTGAATGTGAATATTTTCATAATCACTGTAAAAAGCATACAAAGATTTTAGTCAGTAAATGACAGAAAGACCTTAATTCCGCTAGACGCAATAAAGTAACATCCAATTATGTGAGAACACTAAATTGCGGATAACGACCAGCTGTCATCGCATATCGACCACCTTCAAACAGAATCGAAAATGCTTGTTATAAAAGAGCACAACCAACTGCAGGCTGTCCAACCAACACCTTCTTCCGTGCCACAATTATTGACAACCATGTTCAGTAGATTCCTCCCTTCAAGATCATAAATACATCGATAGCTTGTGCAATGGAGCTAACGTCACTTAGGTCGAATGTAAGCGTATTCTAACAACCGTATTTAATTCACTTTTTTTTTTTTAGCCTATTTCATCCATTCACTCCGAGCCACTACTAGATATGATAAAGTAACTTATGTCTAAATATAACCCGAAAGTTTTTATTTAAACCGAATATACTCATTTTTTCGTTCTTACGGTTAGTGATATTATCAGTGTTGAATATATCAAATTAAAACCAATAGCTGAGTTTTAACAAGTCCAACTTGGGTACGTAGTTGGCACATGAAAATTTTGTTGTAGAATCGAATTTTTTTTACAAATCCACTAAAAAATCAACAAAAAGTGATTCGTAAATGTCGAAACTGTAGCATATGAGTAGTAAAAGGCTTTCAAAGCGTGTCATCAAGTTATCAAAAACTTGCCGTATGTTCGTAATCTATTCATAGCAATTAACGAAAAAAATCGAGATATTGTGTATAAAGATTTCCATTCAGAAGAACAAACATTGGGCGTATTGCATCATTTAAGGAAGGATATTTGTCGAAAAAGCCGAAATTGTAGCAAAACAACTCATGGTATTTTCACCTCTGTAATGTACCTACTACCACACATCTCGTCTTGTGTGTGATTATTGCACCAAAAACAACATCAATATTCCACAATACCCATATTCAACTGATATGGCAACTGTCGACTTTTTTTGAAACCTAGACTCGAATAACTACATAAGGGAAAGCGTTTGTTTTTGAGTCCATAAAACATAATTCGCTAGTAGCCATAGTTCTGTCAGGCTATGAAAAGTAATTTGAAGATTTGAATTCACTAATTATTCCCCTTTTAAGAAGATTTCCAAAAATTCATTACATGGAAACTTCATTACAGTAATCAGGGTAGAGAGATGCCAGCGAGAAACTGAACACTTAGTGAACTAGGTTTACCTAAGGAAATAATGGTCGTGATCGTCTAGTGGTAAGAACCCTACGTTGTAATTTGAGGACTGAACAAATCGTTGGCATATGTATAACATCTTGAATAGAGATTATTTTTAAGGTGAATATAAGAAATATTCAAAAATAAATTAAATTGTTGTTTAATTTTAAAATTCTGGATAGCATTTAAACATAAGATTTTATAATAAACCAAAATAACTAGACTTCAGTAACTACTATTGAAGAGTATCTATCTGCTTAAAACTGACATAAATTTGTACTTTTATTAAAGCATTTATTTTATGTGCAAACTTGGATTTGTTATATACATACTTCAAAAAATAATTTATTCAAAAATAATTATTTAAAGTAATGAACAAAATAGTCTAGATCTCTAGATTGCTAGAAAAGTGTATAGACAGGGAATAGGATTTATTGCATGGGTACAGGATTGGCAATGGTTAAGTCAATAATAAAGCTTTCAGTGTATGACAGGGAAAACGAATTTACATTTGCATTACAAGCTTTCAATTGCCAATGACAAATATTATAAATATGTAGTATCGATATACATATAAGCGTATATATATACTTATATTTATTTAGCGCAAAAAAAAAATAATTTAAACAAAACCAAAAAATTCTCAAATAAATCAATATAATAAATAAAAAATGCAAGTGAAGAGACAGGAAAATCCTGTCTTCCATCAAAGTAATACGACATTTGGCACAATTTTCTTATTAATTTCAACTTTTTTTTATTCTTTGGAGTCTAAGGCAATAGAAATGACCATAAGCAAGTGGATTTTGGCCTATACAAGTATGTCAATGTTGGCTGACATTATTGTCTTTTATCTTCAGACATTTATATTATATAAAATAAAACAAATGGTCAACATGAATATTTCTAATTTTTCTAATTTTTTCTTAGTTTTTTTTTTGGCAAACATAAATATTAAATAATATAGATTTAATATTTTTGTTTCATTTGGAGAGCAAACATAAAACAAACAATGTCAACAGAATATTGTTTACATAAATTTGGGTGAAGGATTTCAACTAAAAAACTATTGACATATTTTTGCATTCATTTACATCAATATTAGCTGAATGACCGACCGACCCTTTTATCAAATGAAAACGTTTTGATTATTTATGAAAAAATTTAAAATTCTAAAAATAATAAGAAAAAAGAAAATAGAAAATAGAAAATAATTTTATTATTTCACATCCATTTTTTCTTTTTTTTTTTCTATCTTAAATAGAACACAAGAGGAGCGCAACATGGATGACAAATTGGTATCAGATGAAGTGCATTTACGCAACTTCAGCCAATCGCCACTAACACAGCAACGACGTTTAAGTACAAATTCGAATGCCACTAAGACAACAAGTCAAAAGGATGCCCCCAACAATACAACTCCCCTCTCAAGACGACGGTGTTCAGGTGGCAGCGCTGTGGTCTTAGGAAACGGAACCGACAATTTTTCACCGTCTGCAACGCACAAAAGTATTGAGCAAAACGGAAATGAATTTCTGAACACCGAAAGGGTAAAAAACGTGGCGGATGATGTTGTTGATTTCATTGAAGATGACGATGATGAAAATGTGGATGAAGATAATCTCGATAACGATGCAGTTGGTGGTTTAAGTAATCCTGCAGCACAAATAAATGACAACGATGATTCCAAAGATGCACAAAGCGTTAATACGGACAATATGAAGGTAGGTCAGCAAGGACTTGCTAACCTGTTAAGAAGATTAATACAGTTGTATGTAACATATGAGATGAACAATTTTTTTTAAATAGAATACTTGTAAAATATAAAAGCAATCCAAGATATAGAATCTGTAGTACTTTTTGCTTAAACCGAACATGAAAGGGACGAAAAAAATTATTCCCTTTTAGTAAAATTTTTACGAAAAAGTGAGAACCTTTATAAGAGTATTACTTATTATGGTAAAATGCACTGCTTCTGATGTGGTAAGGCGTCACCCAAATTTCATATGAATGCGTTTATTTTAAGCAAAAAGTAATATATTTAATTATTTTAACCAGAAATTCCAAACACATTTGAATGAGTCTAGCACGTAGAAAATTCCTTGTATTTAGCTAATTACTAGGAATCATCCTACAAATTAATGTCCTCATATTAGGAATCAAGTTGGAAAATGAAATCAATTCTTACTTATGAATTTCGTCAGGACAGAACACTTCAAAGTAGTGACGTCAGCTGCTTATATATGAAACCTAATTCTTGAGATAAGTAGGTGGTCTTATACTTTCGACAAGCTTCGCTATAATGCAAAGTTAATTAAAATAAACTCCACTACACAATTTTCAATTATTTCTTCAAAAAGGAGGTATTGGAGCAAAAAATATAGTTATTAAACTCCAATGGAATGAAGATTTAATGATTTGATTTCAAAATCGTGCCAGTTTAAGACAATTAGGTAACCATAACTGAAACTATAGTATCTATGTAATTGGACGAAACGTTTTAATATATAGAGTAATAATACATACGTACATATATAGCTGTCTAGCCAAATAAGGGCTGGATAGATTACTTAAATAATGTTAAGAAGAAAATAGTGTCCGATAGAAGGAAAATGCAGATTACCATAACCGTAACATCATAATATATATTGAATCTGAAAGATTGTGTGCTTATAGAACAGCGAATTAAAAGAAGAAAGATGAAGTGAAAAGAAGAACATGGCTTTTAAAAAAAGAATGATTTGATGCAATATATGCTGATTTAAGAGTCTTAAGAAAATAATTTTTGAGAAGAAAGGCGCCGGATAATTAGCAATGGGGAGAATACATGGATAATGCCTAAATGAAAAACAAATGTATATAAAATAATTAATATAATTTTTTTAATAAATAGACTAAATTTCAATATAGATTATATACATCTATGATAGTAGAATTGATAAAAAATATATATATTTGTATTCCTATATATATACGTATTAGAAGTTTATTTCACATGCATGTATACTTTTATTTGGTAAAATTAAT